GGGCGCTGCAGAGAGATGGGGAAACTGAGGCAGGGCTGGAGGAGACTGCAGGGATGGGGACGGGGGGGTGTTTGGCCCCTTTCCCCCCCCGCAAGAGGGGGCTGCAGGCAGGGCAGGTGGGGTGGTGGAGCTGGGGGCCGTGTACCTGTCCTGGGGGTGCCCCCAAACTGCTGGTGTCCCAACCCTGGTGTGGGTGGCAGGGTGCTGAATGTGGGGCACTGGCCCCACAGCACTGAGGAGGGGCTGGGCTGGGGGGGGGAACCATGAGTCCTGCCTGTGCCCCTGACTGTTGTGTCCTGCTTTTGGCAGCAGCTCATTCCCCGTGGGCACTGTGCCCCGGCGCGGTGGTGCCAGGGGAGCCTCAGCCCCAGCTTTGGCACAGATCGGTGGCCGGGTTAATGGGCTGGGGATGGGGGGTGGGGGACGGCCGGGGGCTTGCTTGGCACCTGAGGGGGCATTGGGATCCCACCACGGCATCCCTGGGGCACAGCCCCCCCCGTGGGGCACCCACTCGGGTCCCAGGGTCGAGGGCTGCTCCGGGGCTGGGCCAGGGAGCGGTGCCTTGTCCAAAGGTCTCGGTGGTGGCTGGGTGCTGGCACTGCCAACCGGGCACCGGTACCGGCCCCTCGGCTCACCCAGCCTGCCCAAAACACCCTTCCCGGGGCCGGTGCCGCCTGTGCCACCCCAGAGAGCCCCACTGCAGGCACCGGTGGCACCGCGTGCCCAGAGCGTGGCTACCGGAATGGTGGTTGCTGCCACCTGCCCTCGGTGCCTGCCTCAGTTTCCCTGGCGCCCTGTGCCATATCCCGGTTTGCCGTGGCTGGGCTCTCACCTGGGGGGTTCAGGGGGTGTCATGGCTCAGGTCCTGCCCCACTGGCACCTCTGCCCCTGCGCCGTGGGGCTGGGAGTGGGTCCATGAGTCAGCGCCGGGTGCCGCGGGGGGGGCTCGGCAGCTCCCGGCATCACCCGGGGAGTTGGCATCGCTCCCCTCGGCCGCCCACTCTGCTGCATATGGGGGGTCTG